AGATCATAGTGCAACAAGCTGGAGATCAATAGCATAAGAAACCATAAGAACTTCACAAACACATGGAAGTTGAACAACACTCTCCTGAGCAATCAATGGGTCACAGAGGAAATTAAAGAAGAAACTAGTTCTTACAAATAAATGATAATGCCAATGCAACATACAGGAATCTATGGGACACCATAAAAATAGTTCTATGTGGAAAATTCATAGCACTGAATGCCCACAGTAGGAAAACAGAGGAAGCTCAAATAAAGAACCTAATGATGAATCTTAGATTCCTAGAAAAAGAAGAACAAGAAAAATCCAAAGTTCATACAATGGAGGAAATTATAAAGATAGGAGTGGAAATCAGTTCAATAGAGGCTAAGAGAATGATACAACAAATCAATGAATCTAAGAGTTGGTTTTTTGAAAGAATATAATCAATAAACCCTTAGCCAACCTTTGCAAAAAAAAAAAAAAAAAGGCTCAGATCCATGCAATTAGGAATGAAAAAGGTAAAGTAACAACAGATCCAGCAGAAATCCAGAGGACCATCAATAGCTACTTTGAGAACCTGTACTCTAATAAAATGGAAAACACAGAAAAAATGGACAGATTTCTAGATACTTATGAATTACCAAACCAGGGAAAGACCAAATCTAAAAAACAGAACTACAGGCCAATCTCCCTAATGAACATAAATGCAAAAATCCTTAATAAGATACTGGCAAACAGAATACAGGGGGTCATCAAAAAGATCATACATCCTGACCAAGTTGGATTTATTCCAGGGATTCAAGGATGGTTCAACATAGGTAAATCAATAAATGTAATACACTATATTAACAGAGTCAAGGACACAAAACATATGATCATCTCAATAGATGCAGAAAAAGCATTTGACAAAGTTTAGCACCCATTCATGATAAAAACTCTGCAGAAAATTGGAATAGATGGTCTATATCTCAATTTGATAGAGGCTTTCTATGAAAAACCAACAGCCAACATTATATTAAATGGCTAAAAACTGAAAACCTTCATGCTAAAATCAAAGACAAGAATGCCCACTGTCACCACTCCTGTTCAATGCAGTTCTGGAAACATTAGCCACAGCAATTAGACAAGCGAAAGAAATTAAAGCAATAAAGATAGGAAAGGAAGACTTTACACTCATTATTTGCTGATGATATGATACTCTACATAGAGGAGCCAAAAAACTCTGCCAACAGACTTATAGACTTAATTGACAGAATCAGCAGAGTAGCTGGATACAAGGTCAACACTCAAAAATCAATAGCCTTCTTGTGTAACAGAGACATGGCAGGGGGCATCACAATCCCCAACTGGAAACTATACTACAAAGCCACTGTGATAAAAACAGCATGGTATTGGGAAAGAAACAGACCTGAGGATCATTGGAAAAGATTGGAAGATACAGAAATAAGTCCAGACATACTCAGCTACCTCATCTTTGACAAAGGAGCCATAAATTCTCACTGGAGGGTAGTGTCTTCAATAAATGGTGTTGGAAAAACTGGATTTCAACCTGGCAAAGATTAAAACTAGACTCTTATCTTTTACCATGCACTAAACTAAAATCCAAGTGGATTGAAGATCTAAATATTAAAACAGAAACAATAAACTTGCTGGAAGATAAGTTAGGTAAAATCTCCAAGATATTGGCATAGGAAAAGACTTTATGAACAAATCCTCAGTAGCACAGGAACTAGCACAAAGAATCAACAATTGGGACTCATCTTATTAAAAAGCTTCTGCACTGCAAAAGAAACCACCAACAGAGCTAAGAGACAATCTACAATTTGGGAAAAATATTTTACCAGCTGCACCTCAGACAAAGGATTATTGTCTAGAATACATGAAAAACTCAAAAAAAATCAGGCCCCCCAAATATAAAGACCTCTTTCAAAAATGGGCATCTAAAATGAACAGACATTTCTCAAAGAAGTAAAAGCAACAAATAAATATATGAAAATATGTTCCACATCATTGGTCATTCGAGAGATGCAGATGAAAACAACACTGAGATTTCACCTCAACCTGGAAAGAATGACTGCTATCATGAAATCAACCAATAACAAATGTTGCCAGGGTTGTGGGGAGAAAGGAAGTCTTCTCCATTGTTGGTGGGAGTGCAGACTGGTGCAACCACTATGGAAATCAATATGGAGATACCACAAAGAACTAGGATTGGAGGTTCCATTTGACCTAGCTATCCCTCAGCTGGGTATTTTTCCAAAAGAATTAAAAGAAACACACCACAGTGATATATGTGCACCCATGTTTATAGCAGCAGTTTTTTATAGCTAAAACTTACAAACAGCCCAATTGCCCATCTGTTGGAGACTGGATAAAGATGTGGCTTTTTTTTTTTTATAAAATTGAGTACTACTCATCCATAAAGAATGAGAAACTAGAGTCAATCATAGAAAAATAGATGCATATTGAGGCCATACTCATAAGTGAAATAAATAAGACAAATTTGTAAATATCAAATAGTTTCTCTTGTGTGAAAATCTAGAAGTGTACATAAGATCCAAATGGTATAATTGATAATGTGAAATAGGAAGAAAAGGACTAAAGATGTAGGGGAAGTGGGAAGGGTAGGGGAAAAGGAAGAAGGGAAAAGAAAAAATATAAGAAAATGAAAATATGGAAATAAAGTTTTTGTAAATAGGGAAGGGAGGAGTGGGTGAAGGGAGGGTAGGGGTATGGGGAAAAAATGAGAACCAAGACCTGTCATGTAAAGATACAAGGTCCCAATGATGAATGTAACTGTACTGTATTCCTAAAAAGTACCCATAAACTCATTGATAAAAAAATTTGTTGTTAAGATTTTAAAGCAGAAAGTAGAACTGCTGTTAGAGTTAGCATTTAATGGCATTGATAATGTATCTGACACAGATATACTAAATGTTTTCCCCTCTCTCAAATTTAGTCACAGTAAGTCACATAAATTGATTCTTTTTAAATTTTGTCTAATTTAGATTCTCTTGCCTTCAGCTGAATGTAAGATTCTTCAGTTAAATTAGATTTTAAATTTGCTTTTATAAAATCAAGAAATTATTTGCTGAAAATATCAAGAAATGTACCTTCATTTGGGCATATTTTTCTGAATATAGGAAGTGTTTAAAATTAAAAATCATCACAATTAAGCTCAGGAGAAATAGATATTATTGATAGTAACAGCTCATAAAATCGTTGGGACAAATGTAGTATTTCTTTAGTTTTAGGATATTTCTTTTCCTTTGATTCTTTTTTTAAAAAAATATCCAATTAGTTTGTATTTGGCCACTCTACAATTGAGTACCCACCCCGCTTGCAAATAGAATAGTTAGAACAAGAAAATAATATAGAGTCTGGCTATAGTGGTGCACACCTGTAGTTCCAGCACTCATGGAGGCCATGACAAGAGGTTCACTTTGAGTTCAAGGCCAACCTAAACTATATGGTGAGACCCAGTAGCACACACACTCCCCTGCCTGCCATTCCATGTCATATCTCACCGACATGGCAGCTCCAGACTTAGCATACAATATAGGGAGGCACAATGTATGGGCACACTGGCATCGCACTCATTATGCAGTGGAGCCTGCTGTATCCATTTTAGCCTGGTAAAAATGTAAGTCTTCCTCCGGCAGCCAGTGCTAGCCCAGCCCACAGCCCTGTTGCTCCTGCTTAAAACGGCCTAGGGTGAAGGGCAGGTGGCCCCAGTTGTATGTGAGCACTTTCTCTGGTGCTGCAGCTTGACCCCCAGCACCATGGACAGTGGAATTAGTAATATATTTTCTAAGTTTAATTTTATTTTTAGTAGAGTATAGGACTTTTATTTTTTTTGGTACCAGGGATTGAACTTAGGTCCTTGAGCTTGCAACGCAGGCAGCAGAACCACTGAGCCAAATCACAGCCCAGGACATAATTTTTTGATCAAGTTATAACTCAGTCCATTTAGGATGGTCCTTCAGATTATACTCTTTTTAAGGTGCTATATTTACTAATGGGTATTACATGGATGTGTATTTCGTTTACAGACCCAGATCTATAAAATAATATCAATCACGGAAATGAATAACCAATCAGCTTTGTTTCTCTAAGAAATATGTATCTCTAAAATTTTCTTTTAATTTATGTGTAATTAAAATCATTAGTAAGTAGTTTAAGAATGAATCCAGACGTATTTAATAGGAAATTACCAGTAAAGAGTTGCCTGGGAAATGATTGGAATTTAAGTTCTTAGAATTTTACTCCATTAATGTGTGCTTTAATATTTCAACTTTGATATATACTTCAGGAGGGCTGACATCGTCCCTTATGTTATCTTTACTTTGAGCAACAAGTTCATGATTATAAATATCCTTTTATAGACAAATTTATGTTTCTAAACTATAGTACTTTCCTATTTCTTGTATATGACATCAAATATATATTATTTTTTACACATTTAATTTTAAACAGTAATACTATAAATAAAACCCTGTACTACTCTTCTTTCTTTGAATATCACATAATAACAGTCAAGTGCTCATACTTAAATATAATCAATAGTAAGTAGGTCAAATTTTGATTTTTCATAGACTGAACCATCCCAATATTTCTGAATAGTGGTAGTATTTGTAGGACCAGAGGAGACTTGCCTGTTTTATGTGAGAATATACTTGCTGAATTAACAGATACAGCATCATAGCATAGAGATGTGGGACCAGCAGTTCAGAATCAAAAGTTTTGTCCAAGGTTTCACAAAAAAAAACCCTGAGGTAATTACTAAGTAAACTTATGTGTCTTTCTGCTCATTTCCTCACTTTTGAAATTGGGATACCAACTTCTTCCTACAGTTGAAAAATTCAGATTTTTTTATTTTAATAAGAAAAATGTAATTTTAATGGCTAGTATACTATAAATAAAAATAAATGTTATGTATTTGTTCTACAATATACCTATTTTAGCAGTTCTTTAGTCCAGCCATTAAATCAATTGCCAGAAAAAATTTAAAAGCCACTCTTTATTACACATTTACAATATATTTGACAATCTTCTAGTTAAATGAATCACTAAATTACATTGTGAACATGCATTGCTCGTTTTGACTTCTAAAAGTCAGTCAATTTTTTTCATTTTTTTCCAGTGATTCATCCTGAAATTGTAAAAGGTTAACATGGCTTTCTAAAGTATCTATTGGTAGGGGTTAGCCTCAGTTCATTTGTACTTACTATTCTGTTTACAAGAAAAAAAGTCATACTGAAGCTATTGTTAGATCTGTACAAAAAGGATAGTCAGATTTTATTGGTAATAGAAGGGGAGAGAAATAGTAATAATTGGAAATGAAATGGAATATACCCTGCTAGATTAGTTCCCAGAGAATATGGTTTATTTATCTTTAACACATATCATTTGCCTAAGAACATGTAGTAACTGACTAAACATCTTATTAATATACTTTCTACCCAGATTATCATTTTCATTTGGTAAATTGCAATTTTTAATTAAAGAGCAAAACCTCAGTCTGTAACCATCAAAGTAAGTATATAGTGTCAATGTAAAATTAGAGCACCAAATCCTAAACCCAAGAGCAATGAAATTAATAGTGCATTGTTGCTGTGCTAGATTACCTCTTAAATAAAGTTTAGTTTGTTACATGAAAAACATTAAAATAAATCCATTATTTTTACACTTTCTATAAAGACCAGCGATTTATATAATCAACATTATAAAAGCTTCAAAGCATATTTTTAAAATGTTTAATTATTATTTACATTTATGATTGTTCAACTGTTGTAAGGTATGCCAATTCCTAAAATGGAAAGAAAAAATAGCAAAGAAAGCAGAAAATAATGAACCCAATGACCCAGTTCACTGAATAAATGTAGATGATCACCATATCCATGTCAAACCACCATCCACGGCTGTCATCCTCAAAGTGCAGATAATCCATCCTATGTGCACCATGTGGGAATTGCCTTCTTGTAACTGGAGCTGCATGTCTGTGGAAACCTAGAAAATATATAAGCAAATATTTTAAAGCTCATGAGATTCTGTTAAGTACTCAGAAAGGAAGCTGCATTATGAACATAATACCATGATTTCATTGAGTGCTATGTTGTGTTCATGGCAGTTTTTTTCCATGATAAAGTTCCCTGGTAACATTTCTGAGACATATATTTTGTGAAATGCTGTTTTCATTTCTTTGTATATTTACATGCTCATTACTTAATAGTTTGAGTACAAACTTCAGTGCCAATTATTTTGTTGGTTTACCAATTTGTAATATTTAAGGTATTTCAATTCAATTTTCTAAATAGTAAAAATCTGAATATTTTGCTTTTTATTTATCTACTGACAACTTTAAGTATTTCTGTGTTTATTAGTGTAAGGGAGTGAAGACAGCACTTTCAACTGAAAAGAACTTCCAATTCTGGTGATAAAGGTAGTGTAAAGCTACAGATTGAAGTAAATTCTATTTCATCCATTTAAATAATTGAATAATATTAAATTTCTGGCCTAGATCAGGCTGCTTATTGGACAAGGTTACATCATCTAGGTGTCAGTGTGTTATTCAAAGTCAAACTTACTTAATCAAGGACAACTCTTTCTGTAGTAAAGTGGGAAAGTGATAAACATCTGATTAGCACGAATTTCTTTTAAATTTTTGAGAAGGTGACAATAAGTTTCAGAATTTCTAAAACTGTTAATTTCATGACATGATTACAATTTCTACACCAAAATCAGACTAAAAATCACCTCACAGATATTGTTTGGTAAACAGCAGGTTAATTATGATCTTAGAAAAATTGTCAGAATATTAAACATTGTGATTGCAGATGCCATTTAAAAAATGTTAATGAGAATTACGAATTCATTGGGCAGGAAGGAGGATTATGTGAATTAATACATATAAGGTACATGCCTGGCCCATAGTAAGGGTTCTATAAGTGCTAGATTCTTAAGTGCTATTGTTAATAGTAGTTATGAAGAAGAAGCGAACTTTTCCTGCCAGTGTTTGTTATTCCTACTACTTCTGTTCTTTCTGGAGAAATCATTAAGCTTACAGTTCTTTGTTCAAACAAATGGCTTTGTAACCATGTCAAGTAGGAGCTGACTTTTTTTGCTAACTTCAAATAGGTTGTCAATATCGTACTGAAACTTCAGAATTTATTAAACATTATGGAGAGAATATACACTACATTGTAGTGGACAATGATTTAAAGGTATTTTAAGATGGTACTTTGTCTTAAATTCTTACTGTAGAATAATTTGTAATTTTTTTGTTATCATCTTCATAGAAGCCAGGTTGAATTTATTTTATTGTAATCAATAAATGAAATTAATTTAAAGTTAAACTTAACTTCTTCCGAATAAGATAAATAGTAAGGAAAAGGATTTTGTTGGCTAGCATTGAGCTTCTGAGGGCCAAAAACCTGTAATGTCTACAATTTGTGCCCTAGGAACCAATTCTTGTCTCCATTTAAAATGTATGGTAAGGCAGGGGATTTAGCTCAGCGGTTCAGTGGCCTGCCTTGCAAGCGCAAGGACCCGAGTTCAATCACCGGTAAAAAAAAAAAAAAAAGTATGGTCTAGGTAGAGATATTATACTGAAAACTATTATGCTAATGTCTTTATGAAGTATGATAAAAAATATGGTGAGGCTGCGGTCTGTTGAGTGCCATCCAGCATACAATGTGTCCTCATCCACCTGCTTCACCAGATCTTGGACCATGAAACTTCTGGCTCCTCCCCAAAGTCAAAGTGACCATGATAAGTAAATGTAAATTGATTCAGGACATGAGAAGCCATAAGAATACAATTAAAGACATCCATAATAAAAGAAGAGTTCTAAAATTGCTTCAAAAATTGGCAAGAAAAATAGGATAAGTGTGTTCAGAGCAAGGGGATTAATGGGAAATATGTCTTCTACATTATTAATTTTTAAAAGACATTTAAACATCCACAGTACTCTTGATCACACCTCATATTTTATCTATGCATTTTAAAGAGCACATAAGGACACATGCCTTATATATTTTTGCAATATATTCCAGTGAGAAAATAAAGCATACTGCAGTGAACATTATACTAGTCAAGAAATGTAAAGATTCAGATTCTTGTGCCAATATTCTACCTACTAATTGTTAATTACATGTTAATATGATACATTCAAGATTTTTCTAATTTGAATAATTTTTAAAAATACAGTGGAAAGTTTTTCTATGTTTTATTCCTTCATACTTAGTATAAATTCCTAGAAACATATTGGACTTTATACACCAATAGACTAAGGTAATTAATATTTTACATTGCATTTTAATGTTGAAAGCGATATTAGCTATTTTTGTTCATTTGCATATTGTAATTTTATTGGATTCATAAAACAAGTTGGCTGTTAGGTGATAATTCTCCCTGGATCTCTCTCTGTACACCTTTCAAGTAGAGGTACTAATTGATTTTGTTCTAGAGTACCTTCTCAAAGATATTTTACAGCCAAAAGTCATATACATTTTTAAGTCTCTGAAAGAATTTCCATAGAAATGGAATCTTTGAAGTTCTTCTAAATCTAGCCTACAGAGCTATTTGGACCTGAAGTAATTTTAGGTTAGAGGCAGATTTTTAATACGAGTCCATGTACTTGATTGGGCTTATTCATATCTTCTAGTTCTCAAGTCCCGTTTGGTAATCTTTATTTTAAATATATATGTTTTCAGGGTGGGATGGTACTGGGGAGTGAACTCAGGACTTTACGCTTACAAAGCAGGTGGAGAAACCACTGAGCTAAATCCCCAGCCCCATCTTTATAAAATATTAACCTATGTAATTCAAGTTTTTAAATGAACTGAACTAAGTTTTGATAGGTGTGGTACACTTGGGGCTTTTCACATATATTTGAAGCTAGTCTCTGTGAGTACCTGTTTTATTTATACTTTTATGCCCCGTGGGAGTTAGATATGCCTATGAAACTTGAGCAGTGAAAATGACTGTCAAGAAAACACAATGTGTATTGTTTCTGGGTGGGGATCTTTATCAGTTTAAAATATTGTAAGGGTCTCTTTCTCTGCCACAACAACCAGTAATGTACCAGACAGATGGTGCTCTGTCATCTGGGTTCCTAAAGCTTGGCTTGATGTGGAGTTGAGCACTTAGCACCTCAGGGGAGATTATTTCAGTGATACTCTCAATCTGGATGAAAAATAGTAAAGTACCCTATTAAACTACTTAAGAAATGTGGTAAAAATGGAAGTTAAATCTGTTTATTTTTCATAGTGAAATAAAAGAGTAAGAAAGACCTGTAGAGAAAATCTCCAGGTTGCTATCAACTTTGGCTGGAATATAAAGAACTATTACATTCTAAGAATCCAAGCCGGGCATGGTGGTGCACACCTGTAATCCCAGCACTCAAGAGGCTGAGGCAGAAGAATCGCTGTAAGTTCGAGACCAGCCTGGGCTACATAGTGAGTTCCAGGTCAGTCTCAACTACAAAGTGAGACCCTGTCTCAAAAAAAAAAATCCGAAAAATAAAAAAAGAATACAAAAGTTACTTCTGTTTTGTAAAAAAGAATTTTACCTTCGAACAATTCCTCTCATATCTTAGAAAACAAGACTATTTTTTCTAAAACATAAGGTTCCAATTTATCTTCATAACCAAAGACAATATGCTGAGCTCCATATTTCAAAGCTTATTTCAGAGACAGACTGTCTACATTTATTTTATTTGACTTTGCAATATACGAAGTTTGCACTGTGCTTGCAATACACAAATACAATGAGTATTTGTTGGGCAGATAGATTAATGCCTGCATTTGAAAATGGATTTTAGAAAATAGAAAAATGAGTCCCACATCAACACTTTAAAATTTATTTTCTGAGGAAACGAATATCATGAATGTATTTGAAAGAAATTTTGTAGCTCTCATGAAATAATTATTGTTCAATAATTATTGAATATTATTATTCAGAGATCCCCCAAACCAGCATTAAAAAGAAGACACATTCTCTTATGCATGTGCAATGGGACAGATAAAGTTTAAAGCAGTGCTTTGTTGCTCTGTATTCTTCATATTACATAAGACTTTTCTGTCAAAAATGATTGATATAAGTAGGTCTTTGCAGAGGTGGGGTGATTTATTTATAGTCACAAATAGGTATAGAGTCTTTTCTGTTAATATACTTGAAAAGTTATTGCAAATAGATTTATTGTGCCATTTTAACCATACAATCGCTCAATAACATTAAGTGCACTCACAAAGTTGTACAACCATCACCACATTTCCAATTTTTTTCATTATCCCAAACAGAATGATGACCATTAAACAATAACTCCCCCATTATTTTTTTAATAACTCCCCATTTCTATGTTTTCTCATGTCCTGATAATCTAATCTACTGTGTCTATGAATTGCCATTTTAACCATACAATCGCTCAATAACATTAAGTGCACTCACAAAGTTGTACAACCATCACCACATTTCCAATTTTTTTCATTATCCCAAACAGAATGATGACCATTAAACAATAACTCCCCCATTATTTTTTTAATAACTCCCCATTTCTATGTTTTCTCATGTCCTGATAATCTAATCTACTGTGTCTATGAATTTGCCTGTTGTGGATTCTCAAATAAATGGGAATCAAAGAATAATTGTCTCTTTATGTTTAGCTTATTTATCTTGTTACAATGTTTACAAGTTTGTCCATATTAGATATCGAAGAACTACATTCATTTTTATGTATTTTATTCTTTATTATCCATTTTATGTATATAACACATTTTGATTATACATTCCACTGCTGATGGAAATGAGCTATTTCTACCTCTTGGCTACTGTGAATAATGCTTTAATGAACAATGACATAGAAGTATCTGTTTGAGTTCATGTTTTTAAGTTCCTATAAAACTATCCAGTCATATAGTAATTTCATATTTAGGTTTTTGAGAAAACTTCAAACTGTGTTTGAGCAAGCTTCAGTTTGTAACATTTTACATTCCAACAAGCAAGATATA